TTCATTGAATTTTGTAACCAGTGCTTCTTTCAGGCTGTTGGGTATCTTGAATATTGCCTTGACTGAGGTGTACTCTGGACATTGTATTAATATATGGTTGACTGTGAAAGGTGTTTGGCATCTTTGGCGCATTGTTAGTGGTTCTTTGGAGATTATGTAGCCGTGTGTAAGTCGTGTATGCCCCAGTCGGAGTCTGCTGATAATTACCTGGTCCTTCCCTTTTTGGTGGTATACCAAGATTTTTTGAGGATACGTCTGGTTTAATATTTTTAAAATTTGTGTTTGTTTGATCCCATATTTCTTGCCATATTTTATTTACATGAGTCTTAAATAAAGTCTTAGTATCTGATATTGGTATATCTGTTGTAGTCGGAATGTTCACATTGTTTATTGCTTCAAACGCTGCTTTGTCTGCTAGCTCATTACTAGATATTCCAACATGGGATGGGACCCACATAAATGATATAATTTTCCCAGAAAATTGGAACTTTTGCAACGCGTCCTTAATTAGGAATAGATTGATGTGTGTGGGATAAACATGTTTAATTGCCTATAAAGAGCTTAATGAGTCTGATAATATTAGTATTTGTTTTTCATTTATGGTTTTACAATGATTTAAAACTGATATAGTAGCAGCTGCTACTCCGTTGCAAGTTTTGGAGGCATCAGCGAAGAATAATTTGTGAGAGGAATATTTGAGTAAATTTGTATGATACTGAAGCCTGATCTCTGCAGAAGTGTGTAAATGCTTATCATGATTAAGTAAGGAGAGGTCTACTATTGGTAAAGAAACTGTCCAGGGAGGTGTCTGGTATATTTTTATGGGTGCCAAGGTGATTTGATTGATATAATACAGTAATCGTTTAACTCGCTCGTAAAATGCTACTGTCTTGGTGGTGTAATTTGTGTATTGTTCTATTCTTTGTTTCAAGTTAAGAAAATAACATTACGCTTATGGAGATCAGTGTTGCCAAAACTCTCAGACACTCTCTTTTGCACGGATGTCCAAGATATTCCCTTTGCTTAATTTTTGAATTTTCATTTTCAATTAACATTTTACTGTAAAGTCAGAATAACTACTAAATAAAAGCCTTATTATCATTATGTAGTCAGAGAATGACATAAAATAGCTGACATACGCACATCGTATTATTTTAAGTAGCAATTAGTAATTAGATAAACGCATTCAGTCAATATTTTCTACTGATTTCTATGATTCATGGCATATCGTATTCTCACCGAAAAACAAATAAACTGTCGTTACTATAATTAAAATAAGATAAAATAAAATTATCTTTTGTAAATACTATTTATCTAATTAAAATCATTTTCCCTACTTTTCATATTTTGTTTCGAATGGTCACTTTTGGTCAATTACGTTAAAAAACATTAATTTAATTTATGTTTGTGGAAACGAAAATACAAATTATACAACCCTAAATTGTGCTTGTGTGTGTCGTGGCAACGCCGCGTTGCTATCGTCCATAAGAAATACATGGCCCTATTTCCGCAATGTTATTTTCTAAACGTGGAACGTAGTATAGTAATTCTTTATTTATTTTTTGATTATTCTAGAGAGTTTCTAGCTCGACTGTCATTAGAGTAACATGAGAGTCAAGGTAGAAATCTCGAACGTCAAATAAATATTTTCGCCAAAGAAAATAATGAAAAAACAACTTGATACAGACGCAAACGGTGCCATCTAGGAATAAAACAAAAAGTAAAAATCAGAAGAATTGTAGATGTTCGAAACCAAAATTAAGATTTTTGCTGTTTTGCTTCTTCTGGGATATCATCTTAATTCCTATTAAACTCACCATCCTAACTCACTACCATATATTTTGTCTATTTAGTATTATAAACTAATCATAAAATAATCTTGCATTGTGACGCCAAAAGTAATATTGAATCGAAACTTTTTAAAAATATGTCACCTTAGCTAATAAAAAATAATAATACTTTTTGTTAAGGACACCCACTTAATAGTTTTTGCTGATTGTGCAACGAGACAAATAAATAACAAATAATGTCGGCCGTGTAAGCAAAATACGGAAATATTTAGAATAGCGAAGTAATGATATAATTATCGATTATTCTGTACTAAACTTTATTCTCAATTGAGCTTTTTTCAAGTCTAATGTAATTATAATAGTTTTTCTTTATTAAAAACTGTTAAAAAGACCTAAAAGCAAATTTGACAAGTTTTTAGAAATAATTCATGCAACCCAAATTGCTTTGTGTAAATTTTGTGCCTACATGAAAGGTTAAAACACGTCGGGTTTAAAAAACCATTTAATATCTTTTCACAAAAAAGAATTACAAATATTTTTTCCTGAAAAACTAAAAATTCGGTGGAGATATCACAAGCTTTTTAATAATCGTTGGAAAAAGTGGACATGTTAAAAAGATTCTTATTACCTTAATACCAATTACATATATATATTATGATACTACTTTTTTTTTTTTTATTTATCCGCATTAACCACTAGGGTAATTAGCGGTAGGTTTATGATACAAGTAGAGAAAATAAGATACATTTTAAAAGTCATGACTTACAACAATATGGTATTATGTACATGTATGTAAATGTAACAAAAATTAAATCACAATTTATTATAGAGTTTACAGTATTTTAAAAAAGACAGAAAGAACTACATTGAATTTTGTAACCAGTGCTTCTTTCAGGCTGTTGGATATCTTGAATATCGCCTTGGCTGAAGTGTACCCTGGACGCTCTATTAATATATGGTTGACTGTGAAAGGTGTTTGGCATCTTTGGCACATTGGTAGTGGTTCTTTGGGGATTATGTAGCCGTGTGTAAGTCGTGTATGCCAAAGTCGAAACCTGCTGAAAATTACCTGGTCTTTTCGTTTTGGTGGTATACCAAGATTTTTTTAGGGATACGTCTGGTTTGATATTTTTAAGATTTGTGTTTGTTTGATCCCATATTTCTTGCCATATTTTATTTACATGAGTCTTAAATAACGTCTTAGTATCTGATATTGGTATATCTGTTGTAGTCGGAATGTTCACATTGTTTATTGCTTCAAACGCTGTTTTGTCTGCTAGCTCATTACTAGATATTCCGACATGGGATGGGACCCACATAAATGATATAATTTTCCCAGAAAATTGGAGCTGTTGCAACGCGTCCTTAATTAGGAATAGATTGATGTGTGTGGGATAAACATGTTTAATGGCCTGTAAAGAGCTTAATGAATCTGATAATATTAGTATTTATTTTTCATTTATTGTTTTACAATGATTAAAAAGATTTAAAACTGATATAATAGCAGCTGCTACTCCGTTGCACGTTTTGGAGGTATCAGTGAAGAATAATTTGTGAGTGGAATATTTGAGTAAATTTGTATGATACTGAAGCCTGATCTCTGCAGAAGTGTGTAAATGCTTATCATGATTAAGTAAGGAGAGGTCTACTATTGGTAAAGAAACTGTCCAGGGAGGTGTCTGGTATATTTTTTGGGTGCCATATAAAAATAACATATATTTTTATTAAGACTAAAACAAGTAGTGAATTGATGTAAGTTACTATCCATGCAGATGGTTGTGATGCATCTGATGTAAGATTTATTTATCATTTTCTTAGAAAGATCAGTAAGTAATATCCTTTTAGAATAATGTAAAACATTATACCTACTGAAAAGGAAAGTATGCTTTCCTTTCTAGGCATTAAAATTAATAATTTCATGCACTGATATTTTTTATTTTTCATGACTAATATTATTAATAACATACACTATTGGCTTAGATGTTGATGGTACATGTTCAATATTAAGTTGACTACAATATGCTTCTGGAGCTTGAACTTTGAGCTGGCTGAAAAATAACATATATTTTTATTAAGACTAAAACAAGTAGTGAATTATGTAAGCTACAATCCATGCAGATGGTTGTGATGCATTTGATATGAAATTTATTTATCATTTTCTTAGAAAGATCAGTAAGTCATATCCTTTTAGAATAATGTAAAACATTATACCTACTGAAAAGTAAAGTATTCTTTCCTTTATAGGCATTAAAATTAATAACTTCATGCACTAATAATTTTTATTTTTCATGAATAATATTATTATTAACATACACTATTGGCTTAGATGTTGATGGTACATGTTCAATATTAAGTTGACTAAAATATGCTTCTGGAGCTTGAACTTTGAGCTAGCTGAAAAATAACATATATTTTTATTAAGACTAAAACAAGTAGTGAATTAATGTAAGCTACAATCCATGCAGATGGTTGTGATGCATCTGATATGAAATTTATTTATCATTTTCTTTCATGGAAAGTATGCTTTCCTTTCTAGGCATAAAAATTGATTGTTTCATGCATTGATATTTTTTATTTTTCATGACTAATATTATTATTAACAGACACTATTGGCTTAGATGTTGATGGTACATGTTCAATATTAAGTTGACTACAATATGCTTCTGGAGCTTGAACTTTGAGCTGGCTGAAAAATAACATATATTTTTATTAAGACTAAAACAAGTAGTGAATTAATGTAAGCTACAATCCATGCAGATGGTTGTGATGCATCTGATATGAAATTTATTTATCACTTTCTTTAATGGAAAGTATGCTTTCCTTTCTAGGCATAAAAATTGATTGTTTCATGCATTGATATTTTTTATTTTTCATGACTAATATTATTATTAACAGACACTATTGGCTTAGATGTTGATGGTACATGTTCAATATTAAGTTGACTACAATATCTTCCTTGAGCTTGAACTTTGAGCTGGCTGAAAAATAACATATATTTCTATTAAGTCTAAAACAAGTAGTGAATTGATGTAAGCTACTATCCATGCAGATGGTTGTAATGCATCTGATGTGAGATTAATTTATCATTTTCTTAAAAAGATCAGTCAGTAATATCTTTTTAGAATAATGTAAAACGTTATACCTACTGAAAAGGAAAGTATGCTTTCCTTACTAGGCATAAAAATTGATTGTTTCATGCATTGATATTTTTTATTTTTCATGACTAATATTATTATTAACATATCTCATTGGCTTGGATGTTGACGGTACATCTTCAATATTAACTTGACTACAATATCTTCCTTGAGCTTGAACTTTGAGCTGACTAAAAAAAAATGACATATATTTCTATTAAGTCTAAAACAAGTAGTGAATTGATGTAAGCTACTATCCATGCAGATGGTTGTGATGCATCTGATATAAGATTTATTTATCATTTTCTTAGAAAGATCAGTAAGTCATATTCTTTTAGAATAATTTAAAACATTATACCTACTGAAAAGGAAAGTATACTTTCCTTTCTAGGCATAAAAATTGATTGTTTCATGCATTGATATTTTTTATTTTTTATGACTAATATTATTATTAACATACCCTATTGGCTTGGATGTTGATGGTACATATTCAGTATTAAGTTGACTACAATATCTTCCTTGAGCTTGAACTTTGAGCTGACTAAAAAAATAACTTATATTTTTATTAAGACTAAAACAAGTAGTGAATTGATGTAAGCTACTATCCATGCAGATGGTTGTGATGCATCTGATATGAGATTTATTTATCATTTTCTTAGAAAGATCAGTAAGTAATATTCTTTTAGAATAATTTAAAACATTATACCTACTGAAAAGGAAAATATGCTTTCCTTTCTAGGCATAAAAATTGATTGTTTCATGCATGGATATTTTTTATTTTTCATGACTAATATTATTATGAACATACCCTATTGGCTTGGATGTTGATGGTACATATTCAGTATTAAGTTGACTACAATATCTTCCTTGAGCTTGAACTTTGAGCTGACTAAAAAAATGACATATATTTCTATTAAGTCTAAAACACGTAGTGAATTGATGTAAGCTACTATCCATGCAGATGGTTGTGATGTAGCTGATATAAGATTTATTTATAATTTTCTTAGAAAGATCAGTAAGTCATATTCTTTTAGAATAATTTAAAACATTATACCTACTGAAAAGGAAAGTATACTTTCCTTTCTAGGCATAAAAATTGATTGTTTCATGCATGGATATTTTTTATTTTCATGACTAATATTATTATTAACATACCCTATTGGCTTGGATGTTGATGGTACATATTCGGTATTAGGTTGACTACAATATCTTCCTTGAGCTTGAACTTTGAGCTGACTAAAAAAATAACTTATATTTTTATTAAGACTAAAACAAGTAGTGAATTGATGTAAGCTACTATCCATGCAGATGGTTGTGATGCATCTGTTATGAGATTTATTTATCATTTTCTTAGAAAGATCAGTAAGTAATATTCTTTTAAAATAATTTAAAACATTATACCTACTGAAAAGTGAAATATTCTTTCCTTTCTAGGCATTACAATTAATAACTTCATGCACTAATATTTTTTATTTTTCATGAATAATATTATTATTAACATACACTATTGGCTTAGATGTTGATGGTACATGTTGAATATTAAGTTGACTAAAATATGCTTCTGGAGCTTGAACTTTGAGCTGGCTGAAAAATAACATATATTTTTATTAAGACTAAAACAAGTAGTGTATTGATGTAAGCTACAATCTATGCGGATGGTTGTGATGCATCTGATATGAAATTTATTTATCATTTTCTTAGAAAGATCAGTAAGTAATATCTTTTAGAATAATGTAAAACATTATACCTACTGAAAAGGAAAGTATGCTTTCCTTTCTAGGCATAAAAATTGATTGTTTCATGCATTGATATTTTTTATTTTTCATGACTAATATTATTATGAACATACCCTATTGGCTTAGATGTTGATGGTACATGTTCAATATTAAGTTGACTACAATATCTTCCTTAAGCTTGAACTTTGAGCTGGCTAAAAAAATAACATATATTTTTATTAAGACTAAAACAAGTAGTGAATTGATGTAAGCTACAATCTATGCGGATGGTTGTGATGCATCTGATATGAAATTTATTTATCATTTTCTTAGAAAGATCAGTAAGTAATATCTTTTTAGAATAATGTAAAACATTATACCTACTGAAAAGGAAAATATGCTTTCCTTTCTAGGCATAAAAATTGATTGTTTCATGCATTGATATTTTTTATTTTTCATGACTAATATTATTATTAACATACCCTATTGGCTTGGATGTTGATGGTACATATTCAGTATTAAGTTGACTACTATATCTTCCTTGAGCTTGAACTTTGAGCTGTCTAAAAAAATAACTTATATTTTTATTAAGACTAAAACAATAGTGAATTGATGTAAGCTACTATCCATGCAGATTGTTATGATGCATCTGATATGAGATTTATTTATCATTTTCTTAGAGAGATCAGTAAGTAATATTCTTTTAAAATAATTTAAAACATTATACCTACTGAAAAGTAAAGTATTCTTTCCTTTCTAGGCATTAAAATTAATAACTTCATGCACTCATATTTTTTATTTTTCATGAATAATATTATTATTAACATACACTATTGGCTTAGATGTTGATGGTACATGTTCAATATTAAGTTGACTACAATATCTTCCTTGAGCTTGAACTTTGAGCTGGCTAAAAACTAACATATATTCTTATTAAGACTAAAACAAGTAGTGTATTGATGTAAGCTACAATCTATGCGGATGGTTGTGATGCATCTGATATGAAATTTATTTATCATTTTCTTAGAAAGATCAGTAAGTAATATTCTTTTAGAATAATTTAAAACATTATACCTACTGAAAAGGAAAATATGCTTTCCTTTCTAGGCATAAAAATTGATTGTTTCATGCATTGATATTTTCTATTTTTCATGACTAATATTATTATTAACATACCCTATTGGCTTGGATGTTGATGGTACATATTCAGTATTAAGTTGACTACAATATCTTCCTTGAGCTTGAACTTTGAGCTGTCTAAAAAAGAACTTATATTTTTATTAAGACTAAAACAAGTAGTGAATTGATGTAAGCTACTATCCATGCAGATGGTTATGATGCATCTGATATGAGATTTATTTATCATTTTCTTAGAAAGATCAGTAAGTAATATTCTTTTAGAATAATTTAAAACATTATACCTACTGAAAAGGAAAATATGCTTTCCTTTCTAGGCATAAAAATTGATTGTTTCATGCATGGATATTTTTTATTTTTCATGACTAATATTATTATTAACATACCCTATTGGCTTGGATGTTGATGGTACATATTCGGTATTAAGTTGACTACAATATCTTCCTTGAGCTTGAACTTTGAGCTGACTAAAAAAATAACTTATATTTTTATTAAGACTAAAACAAGTAGTGAATTGATGTAAGCTACTATCCATGCAGATGGTTGTGATGCATCTGTTATGAGATTTATTTATCATTTTCTTAGAAAGATCAGTAAGTAATATTCTTTTAAAATAATTTAAAACATTATACCTACTGAAAAGTGAAATATTCTTTCCTTTCTAGGCATTACAAATTAATAACTTCATGCACTAATATTTTTTTATTTTTCATGAATAATATTATTATTAACATACACTATTGGCTTAGATGTTGATGGTACATGTTGAATATTAAGTTGACTAAAATATGCTTCTGGAGCTTGAACTTTGAGCTGGCTGAAAAAATAACATATATTTTTATTAAGACTAAAACAAGTAGTGTTTTGATGTAAGCTACAATCTATGCGGATGGTTGTGATGCATCTGATATGAAATTTATTTATCATTTTCTTAGAAAGATCAGTAAGTAATATCTTTTTAGAATAATGTAAAACATTATACCTACTGAAAAGGAAAGTATGCTTTCCTTTCTAGGCATAAAAATTGATTGTTTCATGCATTGATATTTTTTATTTTTCATGACTAATATTATTATGAACATACCCTATTGGCTTAGATGTTGATGGTACATGTTCAATATTAAGTTGACTACAATATCTTCCTTAAGCTTGAACTTTGAGCTGCTAAAAAACTAACATATATTTTTATTAAGACTAAAACAAGTAGTGTATTGATGTAAGCTACAATCTATGCGGATGGTTGTGATGCATCTGATATGAAATTTATTTATCATTTTCTTAGAAAGATCAGTAAGTAATATCTTTTTAGAATAATTGTAAAACATTATACCTACTGAAAAGGAAAATATGCTTTCCTTTCTAGGCATAAAAATTGATTGTTTCATGCATTGATATTTTTTATTTTTCATGACTAATATTATTATTAACATACCCTATTGGCTTGGATGTTGATGGTACATATTCAGTATTAAGTTGACTACTATATCTTCCTTGAGCTTGAACTTTGAGCTGTCTAAAAAAATAACTTATATTTTTATTAAGACTAAAACAATAGTGAATTGATGTAAGCTACTATCCATGCAGATTGTTATGATGCATCTGATATGAGATTTATTTATCATTTTCTTAGAGAGATCAGTAAGTAATATTCTTTTAAAATAATTTAAAACATTATACCTACTGAAAAGTAAAGTATTCTTTCCTTTCTAGGCATTAAAATTAATAACTTCATGCACTCATATTTTTTATTTTTCATGAATAATATTATTATTAACATACACTATTGGCTTAGATGTTGATGGTACATGTTCAATATTAAGTTGACTACAATATCTTCCTTGAGCTTGAACTTTGAGCTGGCTAAAAAACTAACATATATTCTTATTAAGACTAAAACAAGTAGTGTATTGATGTAAGCTACAATCTATGCGGATGGTTGTGATGCATCTGATATGAAATTTATTTATCATTTTCTTAGAAAGATCAGTAAGTAATATTCTTTTAGAATAATTTAAAACATTATACCTACTGAAAAGGAAAATATGCTTTCCTTTCTAGGCATAAAAATTGATTGTTTCATGCATTGATATTTTCTATTTTTCATGACTAATATTATTATTAACATACCCTATTGGCTTGGATGTTGATGGTACATATTCAGTATTAAGTTGACTACAATATCTTCCTTGAGCTTGAACTTTGAGCTGTCTAAAAAAAGAACTTATATTTTTATTAAGACTAAAACAAGTAGTGAATTGATGTAAGCTACTATCCATGCAGATGGTTATGATGCATCTGATATGAGATTTATTTATCATTTTCTTAGAAAGATCAGTAAGTAATATTCTTTTAGAATAATTTAAAACATTATACCCACTAAAAAGATACTATGCTTTTTTTTCTAGACATAAAAATTGATTGTATCATGCATTGATATTTTTTATTTTTCATGACTAATATTATTATTAACATACCCTATTGGCTTGGATGTTGATGGTACATATTCAGTATTAAGTTGACTACAATATCTTCCTTGAGCTTGAACTTTGAGCTGTCTAAAAAAATAACTTATATTTTTATTAAGACTAAAACAAGTAGTGAATTGATGTAAGCTACTATCCATGCAGATGGTTATGATGCATCTGATATGAGATTTATTTATCATTTTCTTAGAAAGATCAGTAAGTAATATTCTTTTAGAATAATTTAAAACATTATACCCACTAAAAAGAATACTATGCTTTTTTTTCTAGACATAAAAATTGATTGTTTCATGCATTGATATTTTCTATTTTTCATGACTAATATTATTATTAACATACCCTATTGGCTTGGATGTTGATGGTACATATTCAGTATTAAGTTGACTACAATATCTTCCTTGAGCTTGAACTTTGAGCTGTCTAAAAAAAGAACTTATATTTTTATTAAGACTAAAACAAGTAGTGAATTGATGTAAGCTACTATCCATGCAGATGGTTATGATGCATCTGATATGAGATTTATTTATCATTTTCTTAGAAAGATCAGTAAGTAATATTCTTTTAGAATAATTTAAAACATTATACCTACTGAAAAGGAAAGTATACTTTCCTTTCTAGGCATAAAAATTGATTGTTTCATGCATTGATATTTTTTATTTTTCATGACTAATATTATTATTAACATACCCTATTGGCTTGGATGTTGATGGTACATATTCAGTATTAAGTTGACTACAATATCTTCCTTGAGCTTGAACTTTGAGCTGTCTAAAAAAAGAACTTATATTTTTATTAAGACTAAAACAAGTAGTGAATTGATGTAAGCTACTATCCATGCAGATGGTTGTGATGCATCTGATATGAGATTTATTTATCATTTTCTTAGAAAGATCAGTAAGTAATATTCTTTTAGAATAATTTAAAACATTATACCAACTAAAAAGAATACTATGCTTTTTTTTCTAGCACATAAAATTGATTGTTTCATGCATTGATATTTTTTATTTTTCATGACTAATATTATTATTAACATACCCTATTGGCTTGGATGTTGATGGTACATATTCAGTATTAAGTTGACTACAATATCTTCCTTGAGCTTGAACTTTGAGCTGTCTAAAAAAAGAACTTATATTTTTATTAAGACTAAAACAAGTAGTGAATTGATGTAAGCTACTATCCATGCAGATGGTTATGATGCATCTGATATGAGATTTATTTATCATTTTCTTAGAAAGATCAGTAAGTAATATTCTTTTAGAATAATTTAAAACATTATACCACTAAAAAGAATACTATGCTTTTTTTTCTAGACATAAAAATTGATTGTTTCATGCATTGATATTTTCTATTTTTCATGACTAATATTATTATTAACATACCCTATTGGCTTGGATGTTGATGGTACATATTCAGTATTAAGTTGACTACAATATCTTCCTTGAGCTTGAACTTTGAGCTGTCTAAAAAAAGAACTTATATTTTTATTAAGACTAAAACAAGTAGTGAATTGATGTAAGCTACTATCCATGCAGATGGTTATGATGCATCTGATATGAGATTTATTTATCATTTTCTTAGAAAGATCAGTAAGTAATATTCTTTTAGAATAATTTAAAACATTATACCAACTAAAAGAATACTATGCTTTTTTTTCTAGACATAAAATTGATTGTTTCATGCATTGATATTTTTTATTTTTCATGACTAATATTATTATTAACATACCCTATTGGCTTGGATGTTGATGGTACATATTCAGTATTAAGTTGACTACAATATCTTCCTTGAGCTTGAACTTTGAGCTGTCTAAAAAAAGAACTTATATTTTTATTAAGACTAAAACAAGTAGTGAATTGATGTAAGCTACTATCCATGCAGATGGTTATGATGCATCTGATATGAGATTTATTTATCATTTTCTTAGAAAGATCAGTAAGTAATATTCTTTTAGAATAATTTAAAACATTATACCAACTAAAAAGAATACTATGCTTTTTTTTCTAGACATAAAAATTGATTGTTTCATGCATTGATATTTTTTATTTTTCATGACTAATATTATTATTAACATACCCTATTGGCTTGGATGTTGATGGTACATCATTCAATATTAAGTTGACTACAATATCTTCCTTGAACTTGAACTTTGAGCTGACTAAAAAAATAACATATATTTTTTATTAAGACTAAAACAAGTAGTGAATTGATGTAAGCTACTATCCATGCAGATAGTTGTGATGCATCTGCTGTGAGATTTATTTATCATTTTCTTAGAAAGGTGGTAAGTAATATTCTTTTAGAATAATTTAAAACATTATACCTACTGAAAAGGAAAGTGTACTTTCCTTTCTAGGCATAAAAATTGATTGTTTCATGCATTGATATTTTTATTTTTCATGACTAATATTATTATTAACATACCCTATTGGCTTGGATGTTGATGGTACATATTCAGTATTAAGTTGACTACAATATCTTCCTTGAGCTTGAACTTTCAGCTGTCTAAAAAAATAACTTATATTTTTATTAAGACTAAAACAAGTAGTGAATTGATGTAAGCTACTATCCATGCAGATGGTTGTGATGCATCTGATATGAGATTTATTTATCATTTTCTTAGAAAGATCAGTAAGTAATATTCTTTTAGAATAATTTAAAACATTATACCCACTAAAAAGAATACTATGCTTTTTTTTCTAGACATAAAAATTGATTGTTTCATGCATTGATATTTTTTATTTTTCATGACTAATATTATTATTAACATACCCTATTGGCTTGGATGTTGATGGTACATATTCAGTATTAAGTTGACTACAATATCTTCCTTGAGCTTGAACTTTGAGCTGTCTAAAAAAATAACTTATATTTTTATTAAGACTAAAACAAGTAGTGAATTGATGTAAGCTACTATCCATGCAGATGGTTATGATGCATCTGATATGAGATTTATTTATCATTTTCTTAGAAAGATCAGTAAGTAATATTCTTTTAGAATAATTTAAAACATTATACCAACTAAAAAGAATACTATGCTTTTTTTTCTAGACATAAAAATTGATTGTTTCATGCATTGATATTTTTATTTTTCATGACTAATATTATTATTAACATACCCTATTGGCTTGGATGTTGATGGTACATATTCAGTATTAAGTTGACTACAATATCTTCCTTGAGCTTGAACTTTGAGCTGTCTAAAAAAAGAACTTATATTTTTATTAAGACTAAAACAAGTAGTGAATTGATGTAAGCTACTATCCATGCAGATGGTTGTGATGCATCTGATATGAGATTTATTTATCATTTTCTTAGAAAGATCAGTAAGTAATATTCTTTTAGAATAATTTAAAACATTATACCAACTAAAAAGAATACTATGCTTTTTTTTCTAGACATAAAAATTGATTGTTTCATGCATTGATATTTTCTATTTTTCATGACTAATATTATTATTAACATACCCTATTGGCTTGGATGTTGATGGTACATATTCAGTATTAAGTTGACTACAATATCTTCCTTGAGCTTGAACTTTGAGCTGTCTAAAAAAAGAACTTATATTTTTATTAAGACTAAAACAAGTAGTGAATTGATGTAAGCTACTATCCATGCAGATGGTTATGATGCATCTGATATGAGATTTATTTATCATTTTCTTAGAAAGATCAGTAAGTAATATTCTTTTAGAATAATTTAAAACATTATACCCACTAAAAAGAATACTATGCTTTTTTTTTCTAGACATAAAAATTGATTGTTTCATGCATTGATATTTTTTATTTTTCATGACTAATATTATTATTAACATACCCTATTGGCTTGGATGTTGATGGTACTCATTCAATATTAAGTTGACTACAATATCTTCCTTGAACTTGAACTTTGAGCTGACTAAAAAAATAACATATATTTTTAGTAAGACTAAAACAAGTAGTGAATTGATGTAAGCTACTATCCATGCAGATAGTTGTGATGCATCTGCTGTGAGATTTATTTATCATTTTCTTAGAAAGGTGGTAAGTAATATTCTTTTAGAATAATTTAAAACATTATACCTACTGAAAAGGAAAGTATACTTTCCTTTCTAGGCATAAAAATTGATTGTTTCATGCATTGATATTTTTTATTTTTCATGACTAATATTATTATTAACATACCCTATTGGCTTGGATGTTGATGGTACATATTCAGTATTAAGTTGACTACAATATCTTCCTTGAGCTTGAACTTTCAGCTGTCTAAAAAAAGAACTTATATTTTTATTAAGACTAAAACAAGTAGTGAATTGATGTAAGCTACTATCCATGCAGATGGTTGTGATGCATCTGATATGAGATTTATTTATCATTTTCTTAGAAAGATCAGTAAGTAATATTCTTTTAGAATAATTTAAAACATTATACCCACTAAAAAGAATACTATGCTTTTTTTTCTAGACATAAAAATTGATTGTTTCATGCATTGATATTTTTTATTTTTCATGACTAATATTATTATTAACATACCCTATTGGCTTGGATGTTGATGGTACATATTCAGTATTAAGTTGACTACAATATCTTCCTTGAGCTTGAACTTTGAGCTGTCTAAAAAAATAACTTATATTTTTATTAAGACTAAAACAAGTAGTGAATTGATGTAAGCTACAATCTATGCGCATGGTTGTGATGCATCTGATATGAAATTTATTTATCATTTTCTTAGAAAGATCAGTAAGTAATATCTTTTTAGAATAATGTAAAACATTATACCTACTGAAAAGGAAAGTATGCTTTCCTTTCTAGGCATAAAAATTGATTGTTTCATGCATTGATATTTTTTATTTTTCATGACTAATATTATTATGGACATACCCTATTGGCTTGGATGTTGATGGTACATATTCAGTATTAAGTTGACTACAATATCTTCCTTGAGCTTGAACTTTGAGCTGACTAAAAAAATAACTTATATTTTTATTAAGACTAAAACAAGTAGTGAATTGATGTAAGCTACTATCCATGCAGATGGTTGTGATGCATCTGATATGAGATTTATTTATCATTTTCTTAGAAAGATCAGTAAGTAATATTCTTTTAGAATAATTTAAAGCATTATACCTACTGAAAAGTAAAGTATTCTTTCCTTTCTAGGCATTAAAATTAATAACTTCATGCACTCATATTTTTTATTTTTCATGAATAATATTATTATTAACATACACTATTGGCTTAGATGTTGATGGTACATGTTCAATATTAAGTTGACTACAATATCTTCCTTGAGCTTGAACTTTGAGCTGGCTAAAAACTAACATATATTTTTATTAAGACTAAAACAAGTAGTGTATTGATGTAAGCTACAATATATGCGGATGGTTGTGATGCATCTGATATGAAATTTATTTATCATTTTCTTAGAAAGATCAGTAAGTAATATCTTTTTAGAATAATGTAAAACATTATACCTACTGAAAAGGAAAATATGCTTTCCTTTCTAGGCATAAAAATTGATTGTTTCATGCATTGATATTTTTTATTTTTCATGACTAATATTATTATTAACATACCCTATTGGCTTGGATGTTGATGGTACATCTTCAGTATAAAGTTGACTACAATATCTGTCTTGAGCTTGAACTTTGAGCTGACTAAAAAAATAACATATATTTTTATTAAGACTAAAACAAGTAGTGAATTGATGTAAGCTACTATCCATGCAGATGGTTGTGATGCATCTGATATAAGATTTATTTATCATTTTCTTAGAAAGATCAGTAAGTAATATTCTTTTAGAATAATTTAATACATTATACCTACTGAAAAGTAAAGTATTCTTTCCTTTCTAGGCATTAAAATTAATAACTTCATGCACTAATATTTTTTATTTTTCATGAATAATATTATTATTAACATACACTATTGGCTTAGATGTTGATGGTACATGTTCAATATTAAGTTGACTACAATATCTTCCTTGAGCTTGAACTTTGAGCTGGCTAAAAAACTAACATATATTTTTATTAAGACTAAAACAAGTAGTGTATTGATGTAAGCTACAATCTATGTGGATGGTTGTGATGCATCTGATATGAAATTTATTTATCATTTTCTTAGAAAGATCAGTAAGTAATATCTTTTAGAATAATGTAAAACATTATACCTACTGAAACGGAAATATGCTTTCCTTTCTAGGCATAAAAATTGATTGTTTCATGCATGGATATTTTTTATTTTTCATGACTAATATTATTATGAACATACCCTATTGGCTTGGATGTTGATGGTACATATTCAGTATTAAGTGGACTACAATATCTTCCTTGAGCTGGAACTTTGAGCTGACTAAAAAAATGACATATATTTCTATTAAGTCTAAATAAGTAATGAATTGATGTAAGCTACTATCCATGCAGATGGTTGTGATGCATCTGATATGAGATTTATTTATCATTTTCTTAGAAAGATCAGTAAGTAATATCCTTTTAGAATAATTTAAAACATTATACCTACTGAAAAGGAAAATATGCTTTCCTTTCTAGGCATAAAAATTGACTGTTTCATGCATGGATATTTTTTATTTTTCATGACTAATATTATTATGAACATACCCTATTGGCTTGGATGTTGATGGTACATATTCAGTATTAAGTTGACTACAATATCTTCCTTGAGCTTGAACTTTGAGCTGTCTAAAAAAATAACTTATATTTTTATTAAGACTAAAACAAGTAGTGAATTGATGTAAGCTACTATCCATGCAGATTGTTGTGATGCATCTGATATGAGATTTATTTATCATTTTCTTAGAAAGATCAGTAAGTAATATTCTTTTAAAATAATTTAAAACATTATACCTACTGAAAAGTAAAGTATTCTTTCCTTTCTAGGCATTAAAATTAATAACTTTATGCACTAATATTTTTTATTTTTCATGAATAATATTATTATTAACATACACTATTGGCTTAGATGTTGATGGTACATGTTGAATATTAAGTTGACTAAAATATGCTTCTGGAGCTTGAACTTTGAGCTGGCTGAAAAATAACATATATTTTTATTAAGACTAAAACAAGTAGTGTTTTGATGTAAGCTACAATCTATGCGGATGGTTGTGATGCATCTGACATGAAATTTATTTATCATTTTCCTAGAAAGATCAGTAAGTAATATCTTTTTAGAATAATGTAAAACATTATACCTACTGAAAAGGAAAGTATGCTTTCCTTTCTAGGCATAAAAATTGATTGTTTCATGCATTGATATTTTTTATTTTTCATGACTAATATTATTATTAACATACCCTATTGGCTTGGATGTTGATGGTACATATTCAATATTAAGTTGACTACAATATCTTCCTTGAGCTTGAACTTTGAGCTGACTAAACAAATGACATATATTTCTATTAAGTCTAAAACAAGTAGTGAATTGATATAAGTTACTATCCATGCAGATGGTTGTGATGCATCTGATATGAGATTTATTTATCATTTTCTTAGAAAGATCAGTAAGTAATATCCTTTTAGAATAATGTAAAACATTATACCTACTGAAAAGGAAAGTATGCTTTTCTTACTAGGCATAAAAATTGATTGTTTCATGCATTGATATTTTTTATTTTTAATGACTAATATTATTATTAACATACCCTATTGGCTTGGATGTTGACGGTACATCTTCAATATTAACTTGACTACAATATCTTCCTTGAGCTTGAACTTTGAGCTGACTAAACAAAATGACATATATTTCTATTAAGTCTAAAACAAGTAGTGAATTGATGTAAGTTACTATCCATGCAGATGGTTGTGATGCATCTGATATGAGATTTATTTATCATTTTCTTAGAAAGATCAGTAAGTAATATCCTTTTAGAATAATGTAAAACATTACACCTACTGAAAAGGAAAGTATGCTTTCGTTACTAGGCATAGAAATTGATTGTTTCATGCATTGATATTTTTTATTTTTCATGACTAATATTATTATTAACATACCCTATTGGCTTGGATGTTGATGGTACATATTCAGTATTAAGTTGACTACAATATCTTCCTTGAGCTTGAACTTTGAGCTGACTAAAAAAATAACTTATATTTTTATTGAGACTAAAACAAGTAGTGAATTGATGTAAGCTACTATCCATGCAGATGGTTGTGATGCATCTGATATGAGATTTATTTATCATTTTCTTAGAAAGATCAGTAAGTAATATTCTTTTAGAATAATTTAAAACATTATACCTACTGAAAAGGAAAATATGCTTTCCTTTCTAGGCATAAAAATTGATTGTTTCATGCATGGATATTTTTTATTTTTCATGACTAATATTATTATGAACATACCCTATTGGCTTGGATGTTGATGGTACATTTTCAGTATTAAGTTGACTACAATATCTTCCTTGAGCTTGAACTTTGAGCTGTCTAAAAAAAGAACTTATATTTTTATTAAGACTAAAACAAGTAGTGAATTGATGTAAGCTACTATCCATGCAGATGGTTGTGATGCATCTGATATGAGATTTATTTATCATTTTCTTGGAAAGATCAGTAAGTAATATTCTTTTAGAATAATTTAAAACATTATACCTACTGAAAAGTAAAGTATTCTTTCCTTTCTAGGCATTAAAATTAATAAATTCATGCACTAATATTTTTTATTTTTCATGAATAATATTATTATTAACATACACTATTGGCTTAGATGTTGATGGTACATGTTCAATATTAAGTTGACTAAAATATGCTTCTGGAGCTTGAACTTTGAGCTGGCTGAAAAATAACATATATTTTTATTAAGACTAAAACAAGTAGTGTATTGATGTAAGCTACAATCTATGCGGATGGTTGTGATGCATCTGATATGAAATTTATTTATAATTTTCTTAGAAAGATCAGTAAGTAATATCTTTTTAGAATAATGTAAAACATTATACCTACTGAAAAGGAAAGTATGCTTTCCTTTCTAGGCATAAAAATTTATTGTTTCATGCATTGATATTTTCTATTTTTCATGACTAATATTATTATTAACATACCCTATTGGCTTGGATGTTGATGGTTCATATTCAATATTATGTTGACTACAATATCTTCCTTGAGCTTGAACTTTGAGCTGACTAAAAAAATAACTTATATTTTTATTAAGACTAAAACAAGTTGTGAATTGATGTAAGCTACTATCCATGACTATCCACTAAAAAAATAACATATATTTTTTATTAAGACTAAAACAAATAGTGAATTATTGTAAGCTACTATCCATGCAGATGGGTGTGATGCATCTGATGTGAGATTTATTTATCATTTTTTTAAAAAGATCAGAAGTAATATTCTTTTAGAATAATTTAAAACATTATACCTACTGAAAAGGATAGTATGCTTTCCTTTCTAGGCATACAAATTGATTGTTTCATGCATTGATATTTTTTATTTTGCATGACTAATATTATTATTAATATACCCTATTGTCTTGGATGTTGATGGTACATCTTCAGTATAAAGTTGACTACAATATATGTCTTGAGCTTGAACTTTGAGCTGACTAAAAAAATAACATATATTTTTATTAAGACTAAAACAAGTTGTGAATTGATGTAAGCTACTATCCATGACTATCCACTAAAAAAATAACATATATTTTTTATTAAGACTAAAACAAGTAGTGAATTGATGTAAGCTACTATCCATGCAGATGGTTGTGATCTGATGTGAAATTTATTTGTCATTTTCTTAGAAAGATCAGTAAGTAATATCCTTTTAGAATAATTTAAAACATTATACCTACTGAAAAGGAAAGTATGCTTTCCTTTCTAGGCATAAAAATTGATTGTTTCATGCATTAATATTTTTTATTTTTCATGACTAATAATTAATAAATGTAAAAATTTAGACTTACGTCGTTGACTTAGAAGTAGTAAGAAGCTGATCAACATAATTTGTGGACTCTCTGTGTTCGGCTCTTTGTATGCGTTTCTTTTGGTTGATTGAAAGGGTAGCCGATTTTGATTTAGGCAAATAAAGACTAGGTACTGCCCCAGGCTTGAGTTTTAGACCCTTTTTAGAAACGTAATTTAAAAGTTCCTGTTGTAGATTTCTTTGGTAATCTTCAGTTTTGAACAAATTCTTGCCATATTACAATTAAACTTATCTTGTCTACAACAACATATTGTCCACAGTTTTCTGGTGAAACTATCTTTAGGAAATGTATGAAACCTAAAGATTTTATCTTTATTGTCACTATTGCAACAAGCAACTGCACAGCGCATTTTGAAAGAGGTATAAACCAGATATACAAAATGACAATTAAAAACTTTTAGTTTTACAAAAAAATACTATACAGTATAAATAAACAGTAACTCAACACCACAAATACACACAAGTTTCACACACGCGCGCTTTACTGGTAATGTTTTACGCGCTCGTCTTGGATATGGGCGATATTATATTTTACTCATCAAATTTTTTAACCACTTACGAAGAGGATATTTGTTTAAAGAGACATAAATATGTCAGCATATATCTAAATTATTTTTATATTATCAAATAGATGACTCTTTAAAATGTATTTATTATCTCATAACTTTCAATTTACATCGTCACCATTCATATTCGATATTAATTGTCGAACTTTTGTTTTTATATAAGCCTTGTGAGTGACAGTGAACCAGAATACGCTAAATATACTAAAATATTTACCTATTCACAGTACTTATTTCCTCTGCACAAAATTCTTAAATTTCAACGGATTTGCATACAAAAAGAGTGCTTATATTATTAGTAGGAATATGTAAGAAAACAAAAATAAATACTTCGCCTTAATCTCCAAGAAAGTAAAGGTTTTACGCTACTGGAAATATATGTTTTATTCAATTATACCCAAAACACAACATTAAAAAAAGATTTCGATTATTTTTTGACCATAATTTCAAAATTCATCTGTACCTTAAGCTGTAATAATGGGTTCCAGCCATTTTGAGCGGTCTTGACTACGTCACACTCCTGGGCCAGCTGTCAAATGTCATACGCAATATCATACCTATTTATATTTGTCTATCTGAAATTTCAGGCAAGATTTTATTTAATTTTTTATGTACTTATCACAATGAGTAAGTTGTGTATATATTTTAAAGGCAACATGCAAGAAGTTATCCTATGACAATTTCCTGTTATATTTTTTACTTTTAACAAAACTTATTTGAAAATTTGAGGTCTACACAAAAATATACAAATAACTCCTACAAAAGAAGTTGATTTGATTTCATGTATAGTGCCTATACAATTATATTATTCTTAGATTATTATATCAAGACGCCCACCATGACTGTCATTAGAGTCAAATGACTGTGTCAAGGTAGAAGTCTTGAATGGTTAATTAAATATTTTCCGGTAAAGGAAATAAGGATCAAATAATTTGATACAGACTTATATGGCGCCATCTATGAATAAAACAAAAAGTAAAAATCAGAAGATTTTTACAATTTGTAGATATTCGAAACCAAAATTAAGATTTTTGCTGTTTTGCTTCTTCTGGGATATCATTTTAATTCCTATTAAACTCACCATCCTAACTCACTACCATCTATTTGGTCTTTTTAGTATTTCGTATTATAACCTAATCATAAAATAATCTTGCATTGCGACGCCGAAAGTAATATTCAATCGAAACTTTTTAAAAATATGTCACCTTATCTAATAAAAAATATAATATTTTCTGTTAAGGACACCCACTTAATTGTTTTTGCTGAGTGTGCAACGAGACAAATAAATAACAAATAATGTCGGCCGTGAAAACAAAATAAGGATACGGATATGTTTAGAATAACGAAGTAACGATTATATAATTCTTGACCTACGTATTAATAGGTATCTCCTTAATTTAAAATAACTTCTTTTGATTATCATTGGTTTTTTACGTATTCTTCAAGTTAGTTTTTTATACAAAAGTAGAGCTAAGATTGTTAACATTTATTTTATAGATGAGTTTTTTAATCTTGTAGCTCCCCAGATTGTTCCTTCCACTGTAAATATTGAACATAACATTTTAGATAAAAAACATTTTTTGGCAAATAATTTTCACATCAATGAATTAAATTATGCTTTAAGAAATAAAAAAAGTACTGCCCCGGGTTTTGATCAAATAAAGTGTCCAATATTACAGAATTTACCAATTATAGCAAAAAGATTTCTTCTACAAGTTTTTGATGAGATGTTTGCAGGTGAATGCATTGAAGATTTTAGAAAAATTATAATCACACCGATTCCTAAACAAGGTAAAGACCCTAATTTGGCCCATTCGTATAGACCAATTTCTCTGCTATCATGCGTGCAAAAAACTTTCGAACGTATGATAAAACATAGGCTGGAATGGTGGCTACATAAAAAAGACCTGCTTACACCCTGTCAGTTTGCATACAAAAGAGGAGTGGGTACGCTAGATGCACTTACAACCTTAGTGACAAATATTCAAAATAATTTCTCTAGAAATAATTTTCTTCCAACAATTTTTATTGATATTGAGAAAGCATATGACACCTTAAGCTTAAATATTTTGAGTAAAAAAATGATTACTGATTTTAAAATTCCTAAGGCAATAGTATATGCTATTATCGGATTATATTCAGAAAGACATGTTTATGGCAGGGATTTTAACAACCGTTTATTAGGCCCAAGATATGTTTTTACAGGAATTCCACAAGGAGCTGTCTTAAGTCCTTTTCTTTTCAATTTATACACAGCTGACCTACATAAATTAAAGTTGGAAAAATATCCGTTTAACATCATCCAATATGCAGATGACTTCAGCATATACTGTGAAACAAAGAAGAGAGATGAAGCTTTTGGATTTTTAATGGATACTTACAACGTTGTAGAAATATTGTTGGAAGAAAACCACCTTCACCTGTCGGCCACAAAATCAGCAATGACAATTTTCAGTAGACATAACCTTCCCAATATAGAAACACTTATAGTAAAACAGCGAGAAATTCCTTTTAAAAAGGTAATTAAATATTTGGGCATTTTACTGGATCACAAGCTAACATGGAAATTTCACATAGAATATATGTTAAACAGATGTGAAAAAGGCCTAAACTTTCTGAAAATGACAACTAAAACTTGGTGGGGAACAGATGTTCAGACTTCCTTTATGTTGAAGCACTTGAGCCTCCAATCTCTCTTAGAAGACATTTCTTGGCCGAAAAATTTTTACTGAAAATTAAACATCAGAACACCTTCCTGTATACCGAAATAATAAAGTTAAATAATTATGATTTAACGAATAAATATTGGAAAAAGAAAAACTCTCCAACTCTATGTGAAGCTCTTAGAGAAAACACAGTTTCTGCTGATGAAGCTATTAATTTAAAATCACACACAGATATAAATGATTTTGAAACTATTTTTTATAGCGTTAAATTTATTAAACCAAATTATGTTAAGACGGGAAGATCAAACAACAACATTATTACAAGCATCTTATCCAATTGGGATTACTACAGTACTATCTACACGGATGCCTCCAAAACAGAAGACGGTACAGGATGTGCCTTTTACATCCCTATGGAGAAGGTAGAAAAAATGTTTAAATTAAAAGCAAATATTTCCATATTTAGTGCGGAAGCAATCGCCATATATCAAGCCCTACTTTTTGTTTCTAACAGGGAATCCTCCGTTATTATTGTTTCAGATTCCATATCAGTTCTTACAGCCATTAACCAACCTTTTTTTCCAACGACACACTCCAATCCTTACATAATATTATTTAAAAAATTAGTAAAACACTTAAAAGAAAATAAAAAAAATGTGATATTTATATGGGCCAAAGCACACAGTGGAATTAAACATAATGAACATGTTGACCAACTAGCCAAATTAAGTATTTATTCAGTGGATACTACAGAATATCTGCCCAGTATTTCTGATTTGGTTGCTACACGCAAGGCAGTCTTGAAATATAAATGGAGTGATCTATGGTCTGAGTTTTGTTTTACCAACCCAAATAGATACACTTCGTTACACATAACTGTTCCTGTTGCACATTGGCATAGAACTTATAATGTCCCTAGGCCTTATATAACCACTATATCTAGGCTAAAATTTGGACATGCTTGTTTTCCTGCCCATATTGCAAGAATTCATGTGATTGAGAGTAAAAACTGTGTGGAATGTGGAGTAGAAGGCGACCTAGATCATGTACTTTTTGGTTGTGCCAAATATAATTTGGAATCCGCCGTTTTATATAATAATATTGTTCATATTACCCGTAAATCTCCGTTTAACGTTTTATCTGCCCTAGCCACCCAAAATAGATTAATTTATGATTGCATAATCGATTTTTTGACCAAATGTAATATTTTTCTTTAGTTAAAAAAAAATTGTTTCTACTTTTTACCTTTGTTTTCTCTCCTTTATATGTTTAATCCTATTTACCGTGGCCTAG